GGCACGACGGAAGCACCTGAGAGCAGAACAAAAGAAGCATCACGTCCAGTGCTGCTGCAGTAAGAGCTGGGCACATGCCATAGACCATTTGTTTAGTATCAGCCGTGCTTTGGGGAGAAGCTGGTGACTTACCAGGAGTAAACGAGTAAAAAGATAAACCCTACTTCCTATTTTTGAGCTCTTCTCTCCTGGCTTTTCATCTGCATTGGTTTGGTCAACCCCTGAAAGCTGCAACTGCTGGTGACCAGTCCCCAGCCCAGTAAGAACAGTTTTACCATGAAACGGAGTGTAAAGTTTGTGTGGGGCTTCCAGGACTTTTTGCAAGGTAGACACCAGCCTCTGTGGTGATAAAAGCTACATTAAACTCCTTAATTAAATTGGTAATTCCACAAAATTAAATGCTAGACTCTGCGTTGACTGAGTTGTACTTGTTCAGAGTTTAGGGGAAGATCTTTAAGGTCCCTTCCAACCCAAACTGTTCTGTGACCCGTGAGGGTGTCGGGGTGGTGGGATGGAGCTGGGGGGCAGCAGCACCCTGGTCACAGGGCACACGAGGGCTCACAACCACAGCCCTGGGGCTGCTCAGGTGAGGTCAGGGTGGGTGGCTGTGGGGCTCTGAAGGAAACACTCTTTCCATTCAAGCAGAATAAAGCCAAAAAGAAGAAAAAAGGCGTCGTGCCTGGCGGGGGCCTGAAGGCCACCATGAAAGACGACCTGGCTGACTACGGAGGATACGACGGGGAATACGTACAAGACTTCGAAGACTTCATGTGACATTTATCTCCCCTTCTGTTGTCTTTCTGTTGCCCATAATCCCTTAAACATGTAGCACAACTTTTCTTCCTTTAAATTCTGCCAAATGCTCCGATCAGAGTTGCAGTATCTGTGTGCTGGGGGGTTGGCTCCTGGCAGGTCTGTGCTCCGCGGCCGGGGCGTGCCCCAGGACAGCCAAAAGCCACATTGCAGATTCAGAAGCCCGGCCCCTCCTAACGAGCCCTGTTGCTAGCCCAGAAATTGGAAATGAATTTTGACCCAGCATCCCTGCCAGCACGGGTGGGCGACATGGCCTTAACTGCACCTCCTGGGGGGCTCCAGGAGCACGGGCAGTTTGCTGCAAGGGCGTGGTGTGCACTTAGACTTTACAGTTGCTTTGTTTTCAGTTTAGAGCTTGAGGTTTTGGGTACGCTGTGAAGGGGAACTGCTAACTTCAGAGGGAGGGTCCAGCACCTCCCGGGACACCCGCCGTAAATCCCAACACGTGGTGGGTCACAACAAGGAAAGAAACACTTTTAGTTGAGAAACAGCTCAACGTGAGTATGAAGTTTAGTTTCCATTCATCTGAATTTCTACTAATGCAGCAGTAGGGGTTGGGTGCTCTTTTAACAGTTAATTGCCTGGATTCAGTGTAAAACAAAACCCAAGCCTTCCTTTGGGTTCCTTCTCCTGGGTTGTGACAAAACTTTCACCACTCAGCCATTTTCTTTCATTTTAAAAAAAAAAAAACAAAAACCAAGAAACAACAAAACTTGCTTAGCAAACTGCAGCAGTTACTACAGTTGGGCGAGTTGTTATGTTAACAATTATGACATCTGCAATGTTTTATAAAGCAACTAATTTAATAAAAATCACTATTGAGGACTTCACCGGGGCTGCCTTCAGGGGAGTTCTTTTGGTGTCTCCCAGTAAAAACACTTGCAGCAGTGGAGTCACAAAATGGTGACGTGTGAGACAAGGTCCAGCCTGTGCTGGGAGCTCCAGCTGAACGGGGGCTCTGCCTTAGGGCAAGGCTCTTACAGGTGCTAAAAGCAAGCAAAATACCACTGGGACTGCCAGAATCCAGCTGTTTCCATGGCAAACCTAAGCCCTGAACACAGGGGGGTGATGGGGAGGGGGCGGGCCAAATACCTAAAGATAGGCCAGCGTGTGCCCAGGTGCCCAAGGAGGCCACCAGCATACTGACTTGGATCAGCACTAGTGTGGCCAGCAGGAGCAGGGCAGGGATTGTCTCCCTGGACTGGGCACTGGGGAGGCGGAACCTCAAATCCTGGGGTCAGTTTTGGGCCCCTCCCTCCCAGAAGGACCTTGAGGGGCTGGAGCGTGGCCAGAGAAGGGCAACGAAGCTGCTGGGGAAGGGTCTAGAGCCCAAGTGTGGGGAGGAGCAGCTGAGGGAGCTGGGGGTGCTGAGCCTGGAGCAAAGGAGGCTCAGGGGAGACCTTCTGGCTCTGCACAGCTCCTGACAGGAGCCTGGAGCCAGGGGGGGGTCGGGCTCTGCTCCCAAGGGACAAGGGACAGGACAAGAGAAAATCGCCCCAAGTTGCTCCATGGGAGGTTGAGGTTGTCCCTGAGGAACAATTTGTTCCCCTGGAGGGTTGCCCAGGGCTGTGCCAGGCTGCCCAGGGCAGTGGTGGAGTCCCCAAGCCTGGAGGGGTTTCCAAGCCATGGAGATGTGGTGTGAGGGACACAGGGCAGTGGGGACCTGGCAGCTGGCTTCCCATAATCTTAAAGGTCTCCTCCAACCCAAATGATTCTGATTTCCTGTTGCTGGAAAATTCTGAAATCTGAGCAATGTGTCTGTACTCACCAGGAGTGTTTTCAGGTGGCCCTTATCAGTGTGGGCAGTGGCTTCACCCCAGCTGGCAGCTGCTGCTCTCTCCAGCAGCCCTGTGGAGCTCACTCCCAGCACAGATGGGATCCAGCATCCCCCAAGGCAGGAGATCCTCCTGACGCTTCCCTGGGCCAACAGTCCCAACGTTTTGAAGGCTGATAATTCACTTGAGATGAGTTTAAGCTTCTGCTTTCATGGCAGCACCATTAAAGGCCCAGCTAAAAGCTTGCTGGTCTTTATTTAATTTGGACTAATCCCAGCTTCCTCAGAATAATTCAGTGTTAGGAGACCCAACCAGAGCTGGAATTGTAAATCTGTTTCTGCTGAGTAATCCTCACGACATAAACTGTGTTATTTCTTGGAGCAGCTGTGACTCGTGCCCTGGGCCCTGAGGAGGTCTCTGGCTCTGCTGTGAGCTCTGCAGGGAGCCTGCACCAAAACCTGCCCCTGCCTGAACCCTCCTGCCCCCTTCAGTCAGCCCTGACCCTGTGACCTCACCCAAACACCCCCAGGAATGTGCCAGCTCCTGCCAGGGCCTGACCCTGCCTGCCTGGGAAGAGTTAGAATTTGGTAAGAACCCCTTTGTACTCGATCACACCTTCTACTCCAAGACAGCAGCAAATTGGTGTCTGCAGGTCAGAGCTGCACAAGGCTTCTGCTTCAGCACTCACAGAACCAGTCCAGCCAGAGTGGAATCGAAGAGCAGACTATCTGAGTGTGAAGCTGAGGCTTTGGAAGGAGTCTCCCAGTTCTCCTGCCTACTCCAGAGCCCGTGTGCCCACGTTCTGTGCCCTGCCTCGGCCCTCTGTGGGCTCAGACAGTCCCTGTGGTGCCCCAGCCTCCCTTTAAAGCCCTGTGGGGCCCCATGGCTCAGCCCCTGCCCTGCCAGGCTGGGCTGCTGCCCACTCCAGCATCCTGTACACAGGTTTATTATACAAAACACAATTTTAGCTTCACAGGGTCTCCGCACTCGAAATATTTACAACGGGCACCAGCCTCCTGGCGCCGCTTCCACAGAGCAGCAGATCCCTGTGAGGTGCCTGGTCAAACCCCCAGCCCCAGCCCCTACCCTGAGAGCACGTCCTGCAGGCAGCAGCCTGTCTGTGAGTCCTTCAGCAGGGTGTTCACCACGTCGTACAGCTTGTGGTCGTAAGCCAGCCTGTAGCAGGTGTGGATGTCCTCACAGTATGTCAGCAACTTCTTCAGGTTCTTCAGAGCAGCGTCAGTAGGTGGGTGCTGTTTGACTCTGGAAATAACCACAGGGAGAACTGAAACAGCTTCACAGACAACTGCCACTAGAGTGTCTCCCTAGGGACCTACACAAACAACCTTCCTTCAGGAGAGGTTGTGCTCCACGTGCACATTCCGTGCTCTTGGTTGTTTACCCTCCTCTGATCCATTTAAATAGATTCCACCAGGCCAGCCCTGAGGCAGCTGATTTGTGCAGCCCAAGAGCAGTGTCAGCTCCAGCACGAGTCCCACAGCACAGCTCAGAAACCACCAAACTCAGCCCACCAGCCACAGGTGTCAACAGCCCTGGGCTCACAGGAGAGAAACAGCCAGTGAGAGAAACAGTCGCCAGGGTTGGGAGAGACCTTCCAGGTCATGGAGTCCAACCATCACCCAAACTCCACCAAGTGCCCACTGCCCCGTGTCCCTCACACCACATCTCCACGGCTTGGAAACCCCTCCAGGGGTGGGGACTCCACCACTGCCCTGGGCAGCCTGGCACAGCCCTGGGCAACCCTCCAGGGGAACAAATTGTTCCTCAGGGACAACCTCAACCTCCCCTGGGGCAACTTGAGGCCCTTTCCTCTTGTCCTGTCCCTTGTTCCTTGGGAGCAGAGCCCGACCCCCCCCTGGCTCCAGGCTCCTGTCAGGAGCTGTGCAGAGCCAGAAGGTCTCCCCTGAGCCTCCTTTGCTCCAGGCTCAGCACCCCCAGCTCCCTCAGCTGCTCCTCCCCACACTTGGGCTCTAGACCCTTCCCCAGACCCTTGCCCTTCCCTGGCCACGCTCCAGCCCATCAAGGTCCTTCTTGGAGTGAGGGGCCCAAAACTGACCCCAAGATTCCAAGGGCAGCCTCCCCAGTGCCGAGCATGGGGGGACAATCACTTCCCTAGATGCTGAGAGTTGGCCCAAAGCATGGCCCCTGAAAACAAAAAAAAAGCTGGGCACATGCTGGCTCATCTCCAGCTGCCTGTTGACCAATACTCAGTTGCTCCTCTAACAGAGAAGAAAAGAAAGTTCCCATTTCACCATCAAACCACTCACTTCTTAGCGATCTCCTCAAACATGCTGGGCTTCAGTGGTCTCTGTTGTCTGAACTCCTCCAGGTAGGTGAAGTCTCCCTTGGTGATCACATGTTGGTAGAGAACTTCAGCCCAGTCTGGAACAAACTCATAGGCCTCAGCCACGATGGCTGCCTGCAGGGGAGCAGGCACTGAGCTGCTGTGCAGGGCAGAGCTTCCTCCTGCCCACAGACACTCCCGGCCTTACAACACTCAAAATACTCCAGGCTGTATCTTTGGCCCATCTCTCAACGCTGCCCCTGAGAGCAGCCACCACAGAGACACACGAGGGTCAGGAAACACTGCAAATAACCTTCCTTAACCTGTCAGTAAGCTGGTGGGTGGGGGGTGGGCTGTTCTCTTTAAAGAGCCCTTTTCCCCCATCCCCAGCTCCACAGAACGATGCTGCCAGGGCAG